TATATATATATGGAGGCAATACCTATCACAGCCTGGTGTGTACACCAGTAGGTATGTGCAAGATTAGTACCAAGTTTATACTTGATAAGTACCTCATATCCAGTACCCTATATAATGTATCGTTACTGTCTACATCAAACCATATTAGACATTCCCTTATCTCTCACAGCTCACATCTAAACTACTCACTTCTTACTTCCCTGAGAGTCTAGTGCAYGATTATAAGCTCTGGTTTACCTGCAACGTAATCACCAAAGCCCACCGTGGTCAGCGTGATAACCACAAAGTAGGCAGATTCCAACAGGGTCCAGTTCTCCACTCTTTGAAAAACCAAAGTAGGCACCGCAAGAAAGACCAAGCAACCCAGCAGGATGGACAGGACAGCTGAAATCACCCGGACAATGGTGGGACTAACACGCCACTTCTGTCCGCGGCGACATACAACACAGTGACGTTACAAACAYAAGAAACTACACTTTAAAACAACGTTTGAATTGATATTTTAAGGTCTGACCAGGAAGAGGGTCTCTATTTTGGCAACGGTTTTCCTCAGGCCAGTACCCAGATGGTCCCCGACTCCAGCGAGCAGGATACCGAACAACGGGATCCCCACTAGAGCGTAGAAAATACAGAACAGCTTCCCTAGGTCCGACTGGGGAGAGATGTTTCCAAACCCTGTACATTTAAAGAAAGAAAATCACAAATTCACCAGTGATTTGTTTACATGTTGTATTCCTGAATCTTCGAAAAGATATTACCAATGGTTGTGATGATGGTCCCTGAGAAAAACAAGGCACTGGCGATGTCCCATTTGCTGACAAAAGTGGAGTTGTCTTTGACATTTATACCTGCGTCCAGTTCCTCCACTACCTCCTGAGACAGAACAGAGAAGGAGTTCTTTTTATTATATCTTTATATCTGTATATTTGGGTTTTTTTCTGGTCCATGACCAAAAACAAAATCTGTTGTGTTTCTGTTTGGGATAATTGGTTATGGGTGGTCAAATAAAAGGTTTATACATAACTGCAAGCCTCTGGAGGATCCTTGATGTTGGTGGAACTTCAGCGGCACCAGCAGCTTCAAGTATCTGTTTGCAGCTTTGTGATGGCATTTTAGCAGCTGCTCTCTTAATCCAATGTATTTGTTTGGCAGAAACCTTCCTCGTTGTGCCTTCATCTGCTCTGACAGCCACAAATCTCCACAGTACAGTGATCAACCTTGATCGTTGTGAAATATCTAAGGTTTTCATAACTTGTTCAAGGCATTCGGCTGCTTCATGCTTTTCACAGCAGAGATCTTTTTCTTTGCCACGCTTCAAAATGTTCTGTTTAATGATGTGGAACGTCCTTCTTCAGTTGTTTTTCTTTAATTGGGCTCACCTGGCAAACTAATCATCACATGTCTAAGGTTGATTCCAGTGATCCAAAGACTGAGACACAATGTAATAAACAATGCCTAATAATTAGAAGAGTATTGTAATTCTAACTGTTCTCTTTGAAGCCAAGACTTCACCAAGATTCTGTTTCATCTCACATCCCTCCACTTCTTATCTCTACATCACTTCTCATAAAACTCAAAATTCGATTTAAAATCTTCCTTCTTGTCTCGGAAGTGATAAACAGTCAGGATTCCTGTTACATCAGTGAATTTTAACCCCTTCCAAACRTTGTGTATTTCCTGTCCCGGGTTACAGACTGTGGAATAAGTTTTCCTCAGAGTCTGGAGTGAACCACAATCAAAACATCTCACTCTTTTAAAATGATTTTGTGTTTAACTCACCTACTTTCGCATTTTCTTATTCTGTGTGGTTTTACTGTTTTTGTTTTAATACTTCAAAAGTTGCTTTTACTATGTCGCTTTTTTGTAAAAATTGTATAAAATAAAAGCTCATACTTTGTTGCAAAGAGACCTTTTATTGAGATAATTAAAGAAATTTCCCTTTAAATTGAGATATTAATTTTAAATGATTTGTATAAACAAATAAAAGTGAACAGTTTTAAATCTGCTAAAGTTTGTTGTAAATATACACGTCTGAGGATAAATGTGCAGCTGAGCATGTTTTTCTGTTAGTAAAATATCTGGATGGACTTTACAAAAACTTGGATGTACATCGACAACTAATTAACTTTTGGAATCAACTCGATTCAAGATGGCCGCAACAGCTAGTTAACCTTAGTGAACACAAAGAAAAGCTGAAATTTAGTCAGTTTTACAGATAGTTAGACAAACCCTAACATATTCTATCTCTGCTTAAAATGTTGGAGTCTAACATGTTTATCTGTTAGCAAAATAATTTATGAACCACGAACTAATTTTATTAAGGCTCAGAAAGTATTCATTTAACGTTCCCCTACAATTGATTAACTTTTGGAATTAGTCCAATTCAATATGGCTGCCACAGCTAGTTGGCTTTGGAAAACACAAAAACAGCTGGAACTCAGTACATGTGATGTATATTGAGCTCAGATTTGGTGTAGTTGCAGCTGAGAGTCATCCACCGCCATGTATACTCTAAGTGTTAACGGATCAAACAAGATCTATATTTAAAACTTTGGTATTCAAAACTGTGGATGAAATTCATTCCCTCAAGGAATGTTAGTTTACGTTCCCCCAAAATATTATTTTTATTTGCAGTAATTCAAAATAAGAATGTTAATATTTGCCGTTTCATATTTGTTTACGGCCACATTTCCTCCTGACCGCCTATTTAGTTTTGTTCAACCGAACAAGATCTTCCACCAAACCAGCGAACTGTGTGACTTCACTCTAAGGTCAGATTGAAGTGGGAATAAACAAACTTAAAGACCTGCTGAAACATCAGACCTTTGGCCTGGAGAAATCTGACCCACAATGCCGAGCTGTTGCACGGCCCGACATCAGAGGAATAACTGAGAGCTGTGCAGCTCCCTCGTAAATAAAATGTCTGCAGCTCTTATGTAAGCTGTCATTAAGCACATTGCACTGTTATGTAATATTATTATTATATATGTTATATATTTTCATATATAATATTATATATTATCATCACAGAGTGTTCAATATGTATTCTGGATTATAATTTTATACAATTCAGTAAAAATGAAGATCATAAAAAGTTGAGGGGAAAAGTTAAATTAAGTTATGACAGTGTTTCTTATAAATACATAAAGTTCTTAATAGTGTCAGTTTTTACCTGAGCAGGTAAAAACCTCTTTTCCTTTAACCACTTCATGGTGTTTAAAAGTAAATGTTTAATCATGTCGTTTACTGTTAATGAGTATTAAGACCTATCTGCTTGTTGACACCATCTCTGAATGTGATCAGATCTCTTACACCAAGGGGCTGTCCAGACCCCTCGTTAAAAATAGTCATTAGTTTGTAATTACCGGATTGCATTCAGACAGGACTAAATACTGGTCTGGACAGCCTCAATGAGCACTGSAAATCTTTTTAACTCAGGCCAGGTGTGGGACAACTAGATACAGAGTTTTTGTTTTTATTCTGTTGTTTYATTTGGCTAAAAGAAATAAAATGATTCAGTTTTGTTGAGGGATTTTTAGAGTTGATGACAGGATCCTGCATGATGAGTGTTGTGTTCGTAGGTTTACACAGGGAATGCATTTATGTTCTGTTTTGTTGCAGATATCGATTTTTGTCACTAGAGGGCACATCTGAGAGGCACACCTCAGTCCAGGACTCAAGGCCTCAGCAGAGTCCACTGGAACCTGCCAGATCCGCTCTCATTGTCGTAGTTCTGTGATGAAAATCGCATCATTTTGTTTTCAGCTTCGTGTCGCCCGCCTCTTCCTGTCACAAGGTCCGAGCTGAACTTTTCACCCCCTTCCACATACGAAATGATAGTGTGATTGGTCAGAAGTCAAACGGCCCAAAACTCATGGATGGAGACACAGTACAGGGGCAGGAGGGGTTTCCCAGGAGGTCTGCTCTGTGTGTCTCGTTAGACTATGGAGGTTCGTGAAAATGGACCTCCCGCCATCACGTGACCACACACGTCAACTAGCTGGCTGCGGTTTGACCATGCTGATCGCTTTTGAGGCTATCTGCCTGCCTCAGTGTGATTTCTGAATGGACCGAAGGCGTCCATGTCAGCCCACCTCTGATGTGCCACAGATCAAGGTAGAAACAGAGACGAAACAGACGACATGTGAAAATATAAGCCGGAGCCAAAGTTCAATAACGCGATGAACTGATGAGGTGTGATCAGCGCAGCCAGATGGTCACAGGATTAAAATTAAAACTGATTATTATTTAGGGAAAGCTGATGATGACTCACAGCAACTTTTGTTTTTTTAAAAAAAAATGGATTAACCATAAAAATCTTTGCTAAATTGAGTTCATCCGTCATGTTTTTGAACTGGAATAATGTGACGTCGTATTGAGTGGCACGTTACGCCTCTTTTGGTTCCGCAAAGCTCACTTATGATCTGAAAGCTCACGTCTGAGYGGGACGCGGCCGTCTCCATCGGTCAAAATGAACGGCTCAAGGCAGCATAGAGACAGACTGCTCTGTTGGCCCATTTAATGGAAACGTTTTATGAAGGAGCCTGGTGTCAGTAAAAATAGGAGAGTAAAAATACGAGACATCGTATTCTGGCGACTCAGCGTTTACTGTAATAAAGTTGGCAAGTTTAAACTATCGTCTCCTGGCTGTGTGTGTGTCTCCAGAGCGGGTAAATAACGTCTGATTATTTAAAAAAAAAGTTTTAGGGTCAGTCAGAGCTGACCAACCCAAAACAGATTACAAGAAGTAAATCTGCTCAGCTCACATGTATCAAAAAGGATTCACAACTGGGCCAAAAGCAGTGGTGCAATCAGGGAGGGGTCCAGGGGGTAATAGCCAAGTTTGCTACCACATTGCAATGTTTTTAAATATTCAAATATACACAACAGCTTCATAAAGTTCCCTCAGCAATATTACATTTCTGCTAAAAGATAAAAATATGTACTACTATATGTGAAACTGTTTGTGGTGTAAAGGTTTATAAAATGTTTGAACAGCGATGCACTTTATTTTTACTGAGTTTGCCTACTGAGCTTTCTAAAAATACATTTTAAAGAATTGTAAAGGTTAGTTATAGACATGTATGGAGGACCGAATCTGACATAATTAGAAATAAAAGCAGACTCATGTAAACGAACAAATAAATACATAAATAAATACACTTTAAATGCACCAATTTAATTAAAGAAGAACTTTATCTCATGTTTTATAATTTAACAGACCTTCATATTTATTTTTCCAGCTTAGTTCCAATAAATTATATATTTTAGCACATAATTTACAATTTACAGTTTTTAAAAATTATATATCTTTTTTGTTTTTCCTTTCACTTGTACGTGCATTTGTGTCTTTTAAATGATTATATTTAATTATTTTAAAATAAGTTTTCTCACAAGTCACCATGTATTGCTTTTACATTTCTCTGTCTCCTGTTTATAAATTTCCTTATGCATTTTTGTCTTACTAAGCAAATAAGGTGGGCGGGCCTTCTTGGGTCAGCTCCTCTCCTATTGGTCAACAGCCAGGAAAGAGCAGGATCCATGTGCAGATCTACTGTGTATGCTTGTGCTGCCACAATTTAGCTTAAAGTTGACAGTTTAGTTAAAGCAAAGGCACAGGTAAGTGTAAGTGTGTGAYCGAGTGACTGTCGTCTTAGAGGTCAGCTGTTAGTGTTAGCATTCGCTAAATTTTATGAGTTAGCGAAGCTAACGTTTAGGTGAGCTGTGCCTACCACTGGTAATAGTGACAAAATCTGTCTTCCTTCCATCTTTTTTTCTTTCCTTCCTGTTTTATTAATTTTAACCACATTTTTAAAAATATTTTTTCTGTTAATTGTTTAATTTCCTTTGATTCCATTAGAAACCACATTAGAAATAACTTCACCATTATTTCTGTTCTTTTATTGTAAGACAGTGATAAGATTTTTTTTCTTTAAATTCTTCACATCCAGTTTGTTTACTCATCTCATGTCCTTCAGTCAGTCTAACCTTTTTGCAGAATGTCAGCGACTGCACGTAGAGATCACACCGCAAGTTAAAATAGTCATTTTACAATCTCCTCTCGAGGGAGAGGACAGGCATCTCAGGGATCACGGGGCAGTTGCCAAACCACCAGAGTAATGCCCTGCTTAAGCTTGGATCAACTTTCATGAATTGACATGCACGTTGGAGCAGAACCACACACACATAACTGTTCGGATCACACCTGTTATCGGGTGGAGCTGTGGAGCTTTACAGCGGCACCGACAAGCTGCACCGATCAGACTACATGGATCTGAGGGGTCATCTGAGGTCCTACAGAATCCCCTCAATTTAACAAGTTACTATTYAATCAGTACAACAGATCAGTTACTGTCAGACAAAAGAACAGAAAAATAAACATTTCAACATTATATCTAGATATCCTAAAAACTTAGCTCTGGTTTCACCTTGTCCACGTGGAAACAGGTTTTGTATGGAAAGATATTGTGAGGGGTTCTATGGAATTATTGTGAACAATAATAATCTTACCTGCTGCAAATAGCTCTTTAAATAACCTGAGTTTGGAGAAACAGGTTAATTCTGACAGGACTGAGGAGCTAATGTAGTTAGTGATCCCATCACCATCATTTTTACAACAAGTGTTTATTCCAGCAACAATATCATGACGCTACAGCTAGCTGCTGCTGCCATTATCTACGCTTGCAAATAACCATGGAATGCCACTAAATGCAAAACTGACAATAGTGTTAAGATTTATAAAATCAATAGAAAATAAATTATTTTAGGACATTGGTCACTTTGGTTGTAGTTTAATTTTAATTTGAGCAAAATTAAACAGTTTTTCTCCAAACAGTTCATTCAAAGAGTCATCGACAATAGACCCATCTACAGAATCCCTCTTCAATAGGTCTGAACTATCCCTTTAAGCTGATCTGAGTTTGATAATAGAACTGTTATTTTAATTATTTAAATGTGCGGGTCTATTTCCTCTTTATTAAAAGTGTTTGGTTATTTTAATAAAATGTAATAATTTATATAAAACATGACTTTGAACTTAAATTTTAGCTTTATAAACTGATTGCAATCATTTCTCATAGAATATTAGTTTTTTGTACAGTAGTTGTTTTTTCCCCGTCAATACAGAAATCAATAATTGTTGTTTGGTTATTGAAAATAATATAAATAAATAAAATTCTTAATTTGATAAATATTCAATATTAAATACAAACTCAAATCTAGAAAAAAATGTGCAAGATAGATGTGAGGCTGGTCCAAAACAAAAACTTTTAACTCCACCTACTGACCGACGTCAATTTTTGAATATTACAATAGTTTGTCTGACTGATGCAGAATAATTTGCTAAAGTAACAAACAGACAAGAGAGTCCTGATTTATATAAAAGGTGGAAAATATTTCAAAACTACTGAATATTTCCTGCCATGAAAAGACTGCATGTTGTACCTGCAGAAAGTTCTGTAGCATTTCCGGGTCGATGCAGGAGTTGTTTAACAGGAAGTGCGTGGATTTGTTCTGCAGGGAGCTCAGCAGGCTCATGTACTCGTCCTCCTCCAGGGGAGCCTCCAGGGACTGAAACACCACGGCGCCCAGCACCAGGTACAGGATGACCCCCGTGAAGATGGCGAGTAGGGTGGAGCAGCGCATGGCTGCACCTCCAGTCAGTCCGAACGCAGCCTGCTTCTTCTCTGGACCGACCKCAACTCTGACGGGGGCTTGATCCCAGCTGCTGTAGCTGAAACATCAGCAACCATTAAAAAAAGAAGCACATCCAGTGGGTTTTATATCGCCTGTTAGATCGACTTGAGCCTTGCAGCACTGCTGGGCCAAAAAACAACAAACAAGAACCTGTCCTGCCTTGGACAGACGTCGCCGTGTGTGTGTGTGAGTTTCAAAACATGCCATGAACACACAGACAGGTGCAAAACACAACAACAGAGCTCACCTGTCAGTGCGCTTTATCTGCCCGGACCGCCGTCTTTTCCAGTCCCTCTTGGGACCAGCTCTGATGATTGAGTCCCTGGATCCGTAACCGCTGGGGAACCCGTCCCCCTCAGATTCTAAAGGAGGGGACACTGGACAGGAACCACACGGACATGTTTTTATATCAGATCAGATCCGTCTAAATTTAACTCAATGACAGCCAAAATGTTCGCTCACACTGTCGACGCGAGGTCAGAAACTGGAAGAGAGATGTTTAAAAGTCCAGGTTTGGTTGGGTGTTGATCAAATCAAGAGAGAGCTCACAGTTTTGGWGCCCAAAGGTAAAAATGGACTGTGTCCATTTCCCAAAATACCTCATCAACCGGTGGACAGATCACTGGATGTACAGCTACGACTGGGTTAGTTTTGGAATCAGGATGGCATCCACTAACTGTCCTGAACCAACAAAAACATACCTGTAACTCAGTCCATCCCAAAGAAATGTTGAAAACCAAACAACCTGATGCCTGTTAGGTCAGTGTGCATTCAGGCAGTTCGGTTTTTGTTTGAAAAAAGTGTTTTGTTTTCTGAAACAAAAATTCAAAAATGAACGATTATTTGATTTCGAAACAGATAATGACTTTAGCTTTATTTTTTTTTTTTTTTTTTTTTTTGAGACGTGGCCTGACCTGCAGGTTCTCTCTGCACTACATACGCCGTGTAGATCCGAAATAGGTTTGGACACATTATGCATTGAAATGTATCCAAACCCACTTCAGATCTGGTGATGAGGCCAGCATCATTTACCGTGGAGATAATTCCCAATTCATCAAACTGACTATCAGCACTAGTAGACACCAATCTCTCTAACTTTTCTCTGTTCTTGTGTGCTTTTAATCCACATACAAAACTGTCAACATGATGCATGTGCACAAAATCAGACAAGTTCAACGATAAAGCAGACTGTACACTAGTTGAAGACGTTTTGCTTCTTATCTGAGCTTTCTCAGTTTGCAGCGTCCCGATGACTGGCCTGTAAATCCGTCCCATTTACAGATATTGCGCTAAGACTGGGCGTGATAGCAGCTGAGAGTCATCCCAGAGTGCACCAACACAAGCAGGACATCAACCAGAGTCGCTACAACTCTGTCATTTGTCAGCACAAGATGATCTTACCTTCAAACCTTGGCACAGAAGGTGGCAGATGATATTCATTCCTTTAAAAAAATGCTAGGCCTTTAACTTTACTTGAAACCTGAGGAAGTGACGGTGCACTGATCCACGCCTAACCTGTTACAGCAGYGATAGACCTGTCAAACGCTCCAGAAACATCTAAAAACAATCAGACATGAACAGATCATTTAAACTGCTGGAATACAAACCAAGAAAAAAACTGACTCCAGTCCTTTAAAGTTTGGTCAGTGTGGCTCTTTAGTCAGCAAATCTRTTGGTTCTGGTCCAAAATGAAAGCAGTAAACTGTCAGACCTGCACTGAAACCAGTTTTATAGCTGCTGGAGTACAGAAAGAGACAGTCCACTTACAGAATGAAACAGATCTCAATTACAAACTGGCCAAAAATTATATTTGTTTCACATTTAAACCCAAGAAGCACAAATATATTTGTAATTAAATTAAAAAAGCTAATTTTTTAATTAATATTATCCCAAATATAAATCATTGAATTTCAAATAGGAAACTTTAGTCAACCGAACAGGATTCTTACACAGAATCTGCAGTTTGTCTTCAGATCACACACCTTAAAAACCAACCCACAGTGGCAGACAGTTGACAAAAGCAAAAACTGTAATATGCTTTAAGTGCCGACAGGGCTGCTGCAGCAGGAGTAATGCAGACACACATAATGAGCCACTTTAATAGCCACTTAGACTCCCTTTGAATCCATAAGATTCATGGTTCGGATCAATGCYGCAGACCGTCCGGCTCACATGTAGCTTACCTCAGAGAGGAGGGACCATGAGAGAGCTGAGCCGAGCAGGGCGTCCCATCATGACTTCAGGCAGCCGCATGTGTGAGAGTGTGTGAGGAGGCGAGGTTTGTGCTGAGCGCACCAGAGGCGAAAAGGTGCTCAATCAAACGGACTTCATGTCAACAGAGTGAGAGAGTGAATTAAAGAGGGAGCGCAGATGGAACGAGGAGGACGGGGTCTGAACAGAGTCGGTTTCAGAGCCTCTGCTGTGTTGTTTCAAAGTGTGTTTCTGTTCTGTGAGGCAGTGTCCAACCTGCAGAGGACGGCTGGAGCAACAGAAGAAATACAACGCTTCTCTGAGCATCAGTGTTGCTGTTGGGTCTATGTTTGAGTCGCTGAAGTTTGGTGTTAAATTGTCGGTTCTTAACAGGGAAGCACTCGAACCAGGAACGACAGCTGAAGCATTCCCGAATGTCCATCGGACCCTCCCAAGTTTAACTAGCTGTTTGAGGGTCTGAGTTAGATCTGAACAAAGGAAGTTGGGTGTGGTGAAAGCTTCATATCAGTGGACATCGGCATGTTTGATGACTAGACAGACGACTGGAATCACCAGCTTTATCACAATACAATATTACATCGAAATGTTTGGATGACGGATCGATATTTCTCGATATCACAAAGTCTGTCACGATACGATTTTGATTCAATTCACGTCTGCGATCGATATAATGCGATAGCATATGATCTAACACAATGTCGGTTAGATGGGCATATATCAGTTCACACTGAGCATATGATGACGATACAAATTGATACTTTTGTTTTGCCTCAATAAAACTGAATCATGAACCATTCAAATCGATATATCAATATAGTTCGATGTATTGTTACCCCTAGACTGGAACCTGGAAGTTGAAGCCATGAAGGCCAAGAGCCCCCTAGTGGCTGACTGCAGCATGATTTTTAGATGTTTGGCCTGTTTCACAGCGAAAAAAAGAATAAAATACACTAAACATTTACAGAGTGCTTACCTTCACCAAGACAGTTGAGCTGTGATTGGTGGAACAAAGTTTCGCTGGATTCTGATTCATTGTCACGGTATGACATCATCACTAAAAGGCAGCCTCCGGCCCTGTTCTGTTTAAAGTTTTCATTTTGGGTTTGTGCCAGCTCACGACGAACCGCAGTTCTGGCAGACGTCAGAGCAGCACCAAAATTTAATCATTTTTTCTTGTGACAAACCCCAACGTGTCCTGAGAAATTAATGAAAATCAGTCCATAACCCTTTGAGTGATCACGTGCACAGATGGACGGACAGGTAAAGCAGTGCTACCGAAAACATATCCTCCTTGTTTGAGATGCTGCTGTATGTTCGAATATGAATTTTAAAAACATGTTTCATTTCATTTAGCTATTTCAGGCTTTAAGACAAGTTGATTGACAGTGTGACAGCCTATCAGCACAGTGGGAGGGAGTGTGGGCGGGGCTTTGCTACTGGGGGTACAACCCCATCGCATTACAACTGGATAAAATGTACCCACTTTTTGCTTTGTTGAAAATTGAGGCTGACAGGACCCAGTTTTTAGGAGCTGCCTTGTTGCATTTTTGGACCATCATAGTGAAGTAAGTCTTTAAGTCCAGCCTCCTCACCTGCACACAAGATGTCACATGAGCTTTCTTTTAAGCATGAAATACAGATAAATGAATATTTGCCCAAGCAGCAGCAACGTAAACTATGTGAATCAACCAGTACACAATGATGCAACAATAATCTTTGTTGGGATTCTGCAACAAACTGAAGATTCAACTCAATCTGCTGGCTCCATAGATTGGTTGTTTTCTGTACGATGCCCTGAGACAAACTTTGTTGTGTAGAGCAATATAAATAAACTGAATTGAACATAACAGCACCCAAAAACATTTGACTTCCATTTTGGACAACTGGAGTTAAATGATGCTCGTATTTCCCCTCTATTTCAATAGCAAAGAGCCTCAAGCTACCCCTTAAAGATGAGTAATGTGGCACCAAAGAAGGTAGAAATATGAGTATAACATATACTCATAATACTTAATCATTACTATAGGTTCTAGAAACCAAGGGAACTATTGCTGGTTGCTCACATTTTATTTTGTCCTTCATTAATTTTGGCTCTATAATTTCACGCTTTCTGCTCTATATAGTCACAGTTTGTCACAGTTTGTCTGTTCCTGTGAGCAGAACCCACTGGCACCTTGCCATCATGCATTTCCGACTCATCTACCTCCAAATGTTCGGCCCAGGGTCTCCAGAATCGTTTTCCATTAGATAACACTGCTGTACTGATAAGCTTTCCTAGAGGATTTTTTGAGTCATTTCTCATGAAAGCTTCAATCACATTTTTAGTGTTTTTGCAGTGTTCAGATAAGAATAGTACCTGTTAAAAACAAGTTTTTATGTTGTTCTTTTCTGAGATATGATCTTATTCATTGCCCTGGTCAGATGGTTCATCTTACTCTTCATCGTGATCCACGTTGTTACATAAAATCTATATTCACCAGATTCCAGRTCGTACCTACACATGGTTTTATGGTTGTGAATTTTTGTACTACTACTTCCCTTATTGTGTGGCTTTCTATATGTTTTTTCTACATACAGAGTATCTGGTTTTAGTTGGTCAAACTTCACCTGCCCTGTCAGTCATCTTCCCTCTGTGTGAATACTCCCAGGTTTACTTTGTGACATCCTTGTGGTTGCTTGTCTTTGTGTCACTTCAACAAGTTTGGTTCTTTCAGTAAAGATTCTTATTTTCTTGTATTATAATTTTCTTTTTTTTTTCTTGGATAAACTCATGTTCCTGCTTCCTGCTCATCACTGAGGTCCTACACAGCCTCAGGAGACAGATGGTTTTCCACATGATTGTATCACTTGTCCCTACGATGCTTTAGAAACAAAATGTGTGTATTGTTTGTCTGTGTGTGTGTGTGTGTCAGAAACAAATGACAGAAAAATGAGAGAATCAACCAACCATTCACTCCCACTCACACCATGGTTTAGTTACTAATTAACTTAAAATGTATGTTTTTACTCTGTGGGAGAAAACTGATATGATCTGATATGTATAACATAAAGTTATAAATAATTTTAGGTAAGATATGTGTTTCACATTTGTATGATGTTTGATTTCTACTATTAACAGATGACCTGTATATCAAATATTTATAAATTCACCCTGCATTAGCAGCAAAAACCTAAATTATTTAAAATCCTAAAATTTTCTGCTGATACAGATTGTAACAGAGGTTTTTTTTTTAGGGTTGAAGCCCAAGTTCGTTCCAAAATGTTGCTTAAATACTTCAAACTGTGTCTGAGTGTCGAAAGTCTTCGTGTCCCTTTAACATTTTTAGATTCTGTTACGTTACAACCACAAACATCAAAGCACTTTACAAGGATATTATATAGAATAAAAGAAAGAAATAAAAA